TTCATGTGAAGTAACAGCTCAGGATAATGGGGTTAATGGTGTTAACTCCTCCTGGTTAATGGTGTTTTAACACCTGAAACGTTTTGAGAATAATGGTGCCATTTATCTCAGGTTTAAGTGGCTGGTGTAACCCTTGGTTCTCCCTCAGAGGTGGAAGTCCTATAAATAGGACATTGAGTTGCAGAGAAGATACATAACATTTCATGCACTCTGATTATTCTCAAAGCCTCACGCATCATATCATACTGCTCTGTTCTCGACTTCATTCCAGTTCGTCGGAGCTCGAATTCTGGTGTGCTACAACGTTCGAGAGCCGTTGTATCTTTGGGGACGAGACGCCTAAACCCGTCAGCACTATACGGGGCGTTTTCGTCTTGCGGAAAGAGCAATCGCCTCGGCTATTTTCGCTTCCTCTTTTGTAATTTTTCGTTTCTGTTTTAGTTCAAATGGTAAGAACTGAACACTTCAGTCAGTTCATAGGTTCCCGTTGTAATTCAAAACACTCATTGTGTAACAGGGATTGTCATTGACGAGCGTCAATCGTCGGAATTCCGCTGCCAGATCAAAATCTCCGACCTTCGAAATTCGACCAACAGCCGCAGTCGGATATTTTCTGCGCCAACAAGCTATTTTATGATTTCTAATCCTCAACCGTCGTCTGCTCGTCTCTTAACTGGTCTGTTGTTGATTCAATCTCAATACGAGGCGGCGGCGGAGAATTTTGGGCAGCGACGGGAGGTGGCTAATTTCATCTCGGCCAGGTCATTCCACAGTTGAGTCCGTCGGCGCCCGAGGTCGAAGACTGCAGATTGTGTCGCGACGAGCCGTGTCTGTGCGGTGGCGATTTCCGGCGCCCGATAGGAGGACGACTAGGTCAGCTACAGGTATGAAGACGGTGGAGAAGTGAGTCATGGAGGTGTGTTTAGTGTGTGACGCGTGTGTGTGTGTGTGTGTGTGTGTGTGTGTGGGTGTAGGGAATAAGTGTGTGTTTTGTGTGAGAGAGAGAGTGGAGGAGTGAACGAGGTTTTATGGGCCCACGGTTGTTATGTGATGTAGATTGTGCAATGACTAATTTACCCTTAATAAGTGTGAAAAGTTACCATTTCTTTAGCCCTTTGATTATCTAATGGATGTGATGAATTCTTATTTCTTTCATTGAGGATCATTCTAACCAGAGCGTATCCATATATATATATATATATATATATATATATATAGAGAGAGAGAGAGAGAGATAGAGAGAGAGAGAGAGAGAGAATGGATCATATGAGCATGGTAGATAGTGAAAGAATTAAGAATGAATTTGGACCATGGGATCAAGCATGTCAATGGTTATGATGAATCAAACTATGGTCAATCATAATGGCAATCTGGTATTAATTGGTCATATTTTGGTCAAATATGTGCATTTGACCAATAATTAAGAGTAAGTTGGTCAATACCTATATTATGTGGGATCCACACACCAATTAATAAAATATTTTCTCTTTCGTCACCACCACCATCTCTCTTTTTTCACAGCCCGATTTCAGTTTCTATTTCTACACACATACCGATACACACACACACCCACACATACCACGGTGGCCGACGTTAGTAGAACCGCCGGAGCCAGAACTCGTAGCTTCCTTCACCAAGCCACAACCACCAGCGACATCTTCGCCTGCTGCCACCCACCACAGCCACCGGCAGCCGCCTGTTTCATCCACACTCGCCGCTGTCCTTTTCATCCTTGCTCGCCGCCGCCCGTTTCGTCCAACACACTTCAGTGGAAACTGTTTTGCTCCTCTGCCGCCACCGCGATTCTTCCTCCCTCGGCCCGTCGCCGATGCGATTCTTCCTCCTCCGCCGTGATTCTTCCTTCTCCGCCGCCGTCCGTCTCAAATGTTGTAGATATGGCCGCCGGGAAACGTCGAGATTCAGCGCCGGTGCACGTTTTTTAGAATGTGTGAAGTTGTGATTTGTGGGGTTTATCATGTAAATTAGCCAAATTTATAAATACTCATACTATAATTAAGATTTTAATATTTTTTATTTACTTTATAATAATTCAGCCATTTTAAAAATAATTCCGTCATCAAACCAAAATAACCGATATTTTAAAAAATAAGAATAGGTATTCGAAGCGAAGTATAAAATTTTGAACTAAAAACTTTATTGTTGGTCGGTTTTCGAGAAGTACAGTGCAATTTAGTAGTCATTAACGTGCAATTTATATAACGCTATTGTCCACACGATGTGCATTAATTATTTACGACTTGCCTCAAAATTGAACGAAATAGTCGGGTTATTTGATCGGTTAACCTAACTAACATAAATAATTGTTAAAAATTATAGTATAAAAATACATTTAATAGCTTAAAATATTATTTAATATTTTATATTTTTTTTTGTTGTAAAGATATAAAAACAAATAAATAACAAAATAATATTTTTGTCTTATAATGTTCGATCGGTTTGATTATTTTGAAAAATAAAGCTTACATCAAACCGAAATAACTTAAATTTTAAAGGTAAACACATATAATCGATTCGACATAAAGTTGAAATACAAAAAACCAAGTCAGTTGACATAGTGCAATCTGACAATCAGTAATGTGCAATCCGTCTAATATTAAAGTGCAATTTTGAATACAATAACGTGCAATCGGTCTAACACTAATACATATTCGAAGTGAAATTATCTTTTTTATAAAATATATATATATATATATA